GCATGGGTGAACATCTCCTGCCCTGATAGCAGCTGGGGGAGGACTATCCTCCGCCCGTGAGCGCTTTGGCACGGGTGAGGTGCCCACGGCAGCACCGCTGCTTGTTGAGAGTGAAAGCGATACCCGCTTTCACGTCAAAAAGTCGTCATAAGTCTCCAGTCACACCAGAAAAAGTCGCCAGATTTGTTGCTAGTCGCTTTTTAGAAAAAAAAGTCGCTAAGGGGCTCTGAAAACTTGCTAAATATAGCGACAAAGTCGCTAAGTTAGCAACACTGAGCAGATCAGCTACTGATTGGAAGGTTGGAGGAGCCAGGAATCGAACCACCACTCTGCATGCCAAATATCCTTGGGCAAGAGACTAACCCCAAATTGCCCTCCGATGCATTCATCGGAGTGTGAATGTGTGAATGCTTATTAGTTGCACTACATCACGATGGAACAATGAATCCAAACGTGAAAGTTTGGTTCGAATCACCGTCAGGACAAAAGGTACAACAGGAGACTCTGTTGTGAATTTTTGCTGATTCAGCCCACGGTGTTCGAGATCTCGTCAATAGAACACAAATTTTATAGTCAGACTTTTGTCCACCAAGCACGACCATCGGGTTATTTTCACGATGACAGTGATCCCAAACACTTTTCCAGTGCAGTAAAATCATGTCTGGATAGCAAAGCAAAGGTAATGATGAAGAATAAAGGTGGTCATACCAAATACGTGTTCAAACAAAGACTTCCAAGTTAGAATCGTACAAAACTCTTTTAGCTTATACAGTGCATTTTCATTTCAATAAACCACTGCAACCAAACCAAAAGCAAAGTCTAAAGAAATGAGCGGTGGGCCAAGGGGTTTGCAAAGTGCTGCACATTTGCTGTTCTGTGCACTGCTGCCATCCAAACTCTTAATACTGATCACCTAAATATTACTGACGTGGGAATCACTTATATCATTCTTACCTTTAATGTCTTGATGTTGGTTTTTCCTTCAGCCACATTTGGAAATCTGAGTTTAAAGAAACAGTCATTTTTAAATAGGAACCATTTACAGTTAATCAGCATCATACAGAGTAACTTACTGGTAAACAAGTAAACAATATTAAACTAAAGTAAAAATGCATATCTTAGATACAACCTGCATTATGAAATGCATCATATCTTCAAAAGAAACCAAAACGGACTCTGGAGAACTTGTTGATACATTTATTTCCTCCATGTTAGCACATAGAATATATTTATATACATATTGCTAGCTAAAGTGTCAAAGAAAAAGGGAGAAAACAAAAGAGCATAGAAAATGTTAAGCCACGAGTAAAAGTTTACATATGGACAGAACAACAGGAAGTGAGAACAAAGAAACCTTTACACTGATTTTATTCCTGCTAAAAGTACTTAAAGTACAAAGGATCCATGTAGTACACAGTATGTACTAAAATATCCCGAAATAAGAACAGCGAAAAGGCAAATATGATTGGACAATTTGATCGATTCACTCTTATTCAAGCTGAAAACAGCATCGAGAGAGGGGGGATATAAATCATTGTCATATTGCGTTACTCTGAAGGAGTGCAATCACGCCTTTTCTTTTGTTTACGTGAGGGGAAGAAACCGAACGAGGAGCTGGAGGTACACCTTTACTCATGCAGTTCAAAAAGCAGAAATGCAAACTGGAATGGCATCAAAGCTTTACACGTGGCCAGAAAAAGAAAGGTTTAACATAAAAATCACATCGAAAGCTTCATGGCTGGATGGACAAATATAAAAACAATAAGAAAAAAAAAAATCAAAGCTGCAGCCTCGCAGGTCACGTGTAACACAAACCCCGCCTCCGGTTTGGAAAAGGTCGGCTTTAAAAAGAGATGCTGAAATGTTGAGACACACTAAAGAAGCTTAAAAGAACAATAACTAAATCTCTCTCACTCACATACACTCACTCACACACACTCACCTGATATGATTGTAAAAAACTACAACTAACAGTCATCCGCAGGGGAAAAAAAAAATCATTTACAATGTACAAATAAGATGACGGAGGGGACAGAAGGATGTTTTATTTACACGTAGTGCACTGAAGATGAGAACTGTGAGCTATGAGAACATGACAGGAGTAACGCACACATCACATCATAAAGGATTTAATGAGTTTTCATGTCTGAGGGACGTTTCAGAGGAACAACCGTTACCGTAAATTCTCTAATAGTGGGCAGCCCAAAAATCACGGGTTAAGTTCATTATCAACAAATTCAGTAAACGGTAAAATCAACAATGAATTAATCTCATTAGTGAGGCTGTGTCAATCTGTCAGAACAACTACTGCACAGGGACAACAAATCTTAGTCGTCTCTGGTGACGTGTGATTAATTCACACAAGTCTTAATTGTGTCTCCTGATTAGTAAACAGGACTAATCTGATGGTTACAAAACAAACAAAAAAAAACAACAAAAAACCGAATGCAGTTTCCCCACAAAAAAGTCAAAAAGATCGAATAAAAAAAAAAATATATTTTTTTAAATCATTAAAAGTTATGTTTGAGATTGTTGCTGGAGACATTCGAGATCTTGATTTTATTAATGTCTTTAGCTGTGTTTAGAAACGTAAAAGCTACACCAGCCTACCCATCAAACTTCCTGTTAATGAAATGCATTTCCTCCAATTTCACAATAAAAGCTGTTCAAGGTAAAAGTAAGAGCTCATAAAAATGTCGCCCTACATGGTAGCATGCAGTGAAGTGTGCAGATCACATAAAGTAAATGTTGATTACCAAATCGGTTTTTGAGGGTTGGTGAGTAAATTTACCTTTTTGTTAAAGTGTTTTTGTAATTGTTTAAGTAACAGAAGTAAGAAGTATGTAGTTTATTTAGTATTTGTGTGAACTGGTCAAACTAAACAGGCACTTTATAGTGAAGAGATTATTTTAAGCTCCGTTTTAGTTTGTGTTGTTGCATTTTGTCACAATTACTACATTAAATAAGGATTCTATGACAGTGTTTTTGCACCGCTCAGATGTTTCATAAAGAAGACAAACATCCAGCACAGTAACAAGTTTTAACCACTTTGTTACATCAGAAATCTTCTTCTTTGAAAAAAAAAATGGTCCCGATTAAGTAAAACCCATTTAACAGAGTCTGTGTGTTCACTGCACATTACCGGACTTGTTAAACTCAATTCAGCTCTATATTTTCTACTAGTGTAGCTTTTCGTGGCTCACAGCTGGAAACCCCCACAATTATTTTTTGTCTTTAAAAAAAAAAAAAAAAAAAAAAAAACACAAAAAAAAATGTTACAGAAATGTTCTATTGTTATTTGAAAAAAAATCTAAAGAATAAAGTGTAACAGCCTGATTAGCTGGTGATCATTGGGACAAATATTGCATGTTGCTGTTGGAGAAAGCTGATCTCTTCAAACATTCGACTGCTAAAACACAGCACGTAGTGCACACAAGGATGGAGGCTTCGTTCACAGCCAACAGCACTGAAACTACAGGGCTGCCCACCATGTGAGAATTCACCGCGTCTTATTTTTCATATGTTAAAGGAAAAAGGCAACTTGGGGTAAAGCAAGTTTCTCTCATCTTTCATAACTGAAGAAACAGTCAAACCAAAAACAAAAAAAAATCCATTAAAAACTGGCAATTTTATTGCCCCATCAAAAGAATTCAAATAAAAGCGATTCTAAGCACCGTAATTAGACATCAACACTGAGCACAGGGGGAGGAAAAAAAAGTTTGATCATTCATATTTGCATATTTTTTATATTGGTCCATCCATTATCGCTTCTTTATGGAGACCAGACGTCTGGTCGTTTTTTCCTGCTTGTTTTCCCTTAATGAATGAAAAAACTATGAAACTATCTACATGCATGTGGCCTCACTGGGTGAGAGGATGAGAAGAAGAAATGGGCACCGACCACCAACTACAGCATACGCAGTGAAAGAGTCTCATAGCTAGTCACTTCAGATTAAAGGGGGGAAAAAGATGATGAGGAATCTCGAGTGTACGTCACTAGAAAAATGACACCGATGACGCTCCGGAAAATATACATCTTTTTTTTTTTCCTTTTTAAATACACTGCAGGAGGGCGAAGAGAGGAGAGGAGTCGCCGCCAGATGTTCTCAGGTAGGTTCATCAAAAGGTGCGACTTTTTTTTGGCAATATTACAAGCATTTGGGTTGTTAAGAAAATGAAATGTGCAAACAAAAAAACTAAAAAGAACCAACAACAAAACTGTCAAATCATGTAACCTCTCTAAGATCCAGCTCAGGAAAGATTGCTGTACATCCCCTCGGCTTCAGTACAAACTCAAAACTTCCTGGTTTCATCCAACTCATAAAAAAAATAAATAAAAAAAAAACAGTCTAGTCCCCCCAAAAAAGAAACCAAAAATGTGCATAATTACAATAAAAATCTCTCATGGAAGATTTTTTTTTTTTGGTCGGCATCTTTTAAAGCCGACTTTTTGACCCTGTTCCCAATAAGTGACTTTAGGACAATAAAATTTTCGATAAAAATGGTAAAAGGTGCTATCCACCGCAATCGATTCGTGAAAAGAATAAATTGCATTAAAGTCAGCGAGCCTTTTAATCCACAATTTAATGTTTTTTTGTTGTTTTTTTCCTTTTTAAAACCGGTTTTCTGTATGAAAGCGGAGTCAGTCTGATGCTGCGATGGTGCTTACGGTACCTTTTTTTAAAATGTTCTGTAGGATCGACGGCGTGCGCTTTGCTGCATTTACAGTAAGAAAAAGGTTTCTTTTAAAAAGTCAGGTAATAAAATGTATTCAGTTAATGCTCACCTGTTCCTACACACTTAAATAACACATTCTCCAACACAAAATTAGCACTTCAGTAAAAAAAAAAAAAAAGAAGAGGGAAAAAACAAGGTCATAACTCGTTCGAGTCATGCTGTTGAACAAACTGTTCACTGTTCAGAAAAAATAAAAGCGTAGAAAGTAAAATCAATACAATGGGTACATTAAATAATAGAAACAAAACCGCTCCGCACGCACAAAAAACCATCGGGTCCACAAAGTTTTCAGGAAGGCAAGTCGAGAAGCAGGAGGGAGAAGAGTGTTTGTGTTTGTTGTAGACACTGACTGACAGGAGGAGGCGAGGACAGAGCCAATGGCGTGCTGTGTAAGGTCGGGTAGGGGCGGGGCTTGTTCATTCATCTCTTCCTGCGGCAGGTTCGTTTGTGGTCGGCGTGCCAGTGCTCCTGCTGACATTTGATGGAGCAGTACGAGGTGTTCCAGCAGCAGTGGTACATGGCCTCCTCCTCGCAGTTATAACACTGCAGGCACAGGAAACAGCCAAAGGTAAACAAAAACAGGTAAACAAGACCTCAGCTGCTTTTTTCTATTAGTGCCTACTCCGATCGACTCGCCACAGCTCGCCAGGACTCAACTCTGATCGACTGTTCTTCCGTTACAATTTAGTACCTCCTAATGTGGTCGTTGTCATAGCAACACGACTTGATATGTGGCTCGAACGCAAAGGTGGACGTCGAGGTGAGAATATACCCGCTGCTCTGTCTGAATTTTCGTCAGATTCTGCGAACATGGCATCATTTTTTGTAGCCTTTTCCCTCGTAGCTGGGTTTGAAAAATGGCGGTTTAGAGAACCAGACGCTCGCATGTCTGCTTGAGTGACGCTGCTGACCAGCCAATCGGTGGCATGCAGGCTGACGCCGTCACATTTCAGTACCTGCTCAGACAGCGGCGAACTGAGCAGCTCCGAGTAGGTACTAATGGAAAAGGAGCTATAATAATAATAATAATAATAATAATAATAATAATAATAATAAAAAAACATATATAATACACTGGTTCCAGGTTTTCTCATGTGATGACCTTAAATCTGCGTTTTAAATCACTGACACTGGGATTTCTTTGGGTTGTGAAAATCATCTTGGACAAAAAAAAATTGGAAGATTGTGTTTGTGCGTTTTTATAACTAATAAAAGAAGAAATCTTCTTTATATTCAGGCACACTTTAAGCTCTCGGTTAACTGAACTCACCCACTGCTTCTTCTTGGTCTGGGAGATGAGCTGTTTGTGTTGAGCCACCAGCTTCTTCACCTCCTCCACCAGCTCCTCTTTGCACTTCTCCTTCACCTGCTTACATTTCCTCTCCATCTCCGCCTGAGCTCCAGCCACCGCCTTACTCACCGCCTGGCGTTTCTCCTCCTCCATCTCTGCACGGAGCTGTAGAGAACACGCACACTTAGGTTTGGAACTGGTCCAAAGTGCTCTCCATCATTAGAAGACAAACCCGAGTCGTTTCATACAAACGCACCTTCTCCAGAGCTTCTCTGACGACCCTCTCCGTCTCCCTCTTGTTGTCGGCCTTCATCATCTCCTTCACGTCGTTGAAGACCTTGGTGTACTTCTCATGGCACATGTTCTGACAGGCGCCATCGCTGTTGGTCTGCGTGCCGCGATGCAGCGTGCGCGGCGACCCCCCGTTGGCCTTCTTGGTCTGCGTGGACACCGACAGCTTTTCTGGCTGCTGCGGTGCCGACGACACCGGGATCTCCTGGCTGGAGCTGACGGCCTCCATCTCCGGCTCCGGGTCCTAAGGGAAAGGATGTGATGTCTCTTAGAAGAAGTCACAGCAGGATGCTTCTGTGCCAGCTGTCACACAGATTCCTCCATCTTGGCCTGCAGCTGGTTACAGTAGTTCCTGCTCAGCTATAAGCCACTCTAACCAGAAAACATGAGAGCTGAGAGCTTGCAGCTCCAATCCAGGACAGACAAAATCTGAAGTATCAGTATCAACCTGGATTTCTCTTTGAGAAAAAAAATTAATGCATTTAAAAAAAAATTATTCCTCAAAAATAACTTCAAGCAATTTGAGCACAAACCCCGTCTGTCTGCAAATGTTTGTTCCGACCACCGAGGAGCTTTTGCATTCTTGATTTAGAAATTTCCACCCACTCGTTGCTGCGGATCGCTTCAAGCGATGCTGAAGTGGTTCATGCTGGATTTTAAAGTCTGCTTTTGATCACTGCCCTGAAGAACCCACTCATTTCTTTTACTTCACTTTCCTGCACAACATTTGCACCCACAGCTTGCTGGGATTTAGTGAGATGTCATGGGTCCCCTCTACATAACCCCAAATCAGAATATTTCCACCCTCGTGCTCATGCCATGTACTTAGCATATAGCATCAGGTTATAAATCAGTTTGCAGCCAAAGAACACAAAATACATAACAGCTGCTTACACTGACTTCTTCTTTGGGCTCAACCGTGTGACTCCGACGGCTTTTCTTCGCCTTGGGCTCCTGGCTGCTTTTGAGCTGGGGGGAAAAACAGAAAGGGTCAATAATCAGCGAGTACGCTGGCGTCCCAGCAGGCTTTCTTAAATGATGACAGAAAAGATGGAAACAAAGGATATTAAAGAAAGTAGTTTAAAAATAACCTTTAAAGGCTGGTAAAGAC